CTGTAGGTTCATGTTTATTTCGCGTTTTTTATGACGAAAAAATAATATTTAAAAACATGTCCATACAAATGATAAAAGTATTAGAATTACAACCGCTAATTTTTTAAAATTTTTGTATCACCATATTTTTATTTAAAATGTATTCCTTTCTCTCGCTTCGTCCGCCATTACTAGCTTAAAAAAAATCTCCGGTCCGGCCGCAATGCATTATGGGATATGCTGGGCCGGGAAGGATCCATCAGACCTGTCCTTCGATTCGGGCCAAAGGAAGGACGTATTTGTCGGCCGCATCGGAGGAGTCTTCGGTTTBGGAYRDCCTTCGTCGCGGCGCTGTGACGTATGCGGCCGACAAATTCGACCTTCGGAGGACCCGTCATGCCATTTTGGACACAGCCTTTCTGTTTAGTGGTTTAGCGTTAGCAGAGCTAAGATTCTTGTTTAATGGATTAGTGGTTTGTGAAGCTAACATTTTGTTTAGCTGTGCTCTCCAGTGCATATAGTTTTCTGTTTACATTTTAATCACTGTGTCAGATTTTACTTTGATAAATGATTGAGTCTGATTTAATCTAACATATAAACCCTTTATAAACTCTTCATTTTGGTTTTTCTACTGTGTTGCACTGAGTAACCAATCAGTGGTTTTATGATTGATAACTCTTACTACGTAAAAAAGACAATCAATGTGTTGTTTTGTCTTTTCCACCAGTTCTCCCTCTTCACTACRGTCCACAAACATTACAGTATAGATGAATGGTTGGAGTTTGCAACAAAGCATCCTGAATGCGTGGAGGTACTCAAGTGTTCACTGTTAGTTTCACACTTTTATTAGTTTATTCTTTTTGCACTTGATAATTTACTCGCTCCTTTGTGTGTTTCTCACCAGAGTGTAGCCGTCAGCACTGGGACCGGGGACGGGGACTTTGAGAAGCTCTCGGCCGTGCTGGAGGCGGTGCCGCAGCTCAAGTACATCTGCGTGGACGTGGCGAACGGCTACTCCGAGCACTTTGTTCACTTCGTCAAAGACGTGCGGCAGAAGTTTCCTTYGCACACTATCATGGTCTGTAAACCTGGACATACGTACAGAGCAGGCTAGAAAGAGGGGACGTATAAGGAAAGTAAAAAACATTTTTTGTTCAGGCGGGAAACGTGGTGACAGGAGAAATGGTGGAAGAGTTGATCCTCGCCGGCGCTGACATCATCAAAGTAGGCATCGGACCAGGTGATCATGKTTTTTTTACCAGGGACTTGGAGGGTCTTCAAGATGATGCTTGCAGCTGCTGTTTGGACTCGTCTCATAAATCTCTTCTCCTCAGGCTCTGTGTGCACGACCCGTAAGAAGACCGGGGTTGGTTACCCTCAGCTCAGCGCTGTGATTGAGTGCGCAGAYGCAGCGCACGGCCTGGGCGGCCATATTATCTCTGTGAGTCACTTCCTTCACCTGCTGAATAGGTTTGATTTGTCTAGAAGCTGCTTACCTTTCTGCAGYCGGACTTACAGAACAGTGTTTCTGTGTTTTCTCCTCTCGACTCTTCTCACGCAGGATGGGGGGTGCACCTGTCCAGGAGACGTCTCCAAAGCTTTTGGTGGGTTACACTGCAAAAAATATCCACCTTACCAAGTTTTAAAACCTTATATCCTGCCAAAAAAGTCTTTTTGATCTTGTTTTGAGACTTATTTACTAAACCAGAACTGATTGTACAAGAATAATCATCTTGTTTTCAGAATGTGTAAGTTTATTTATCTTTTTAGTCTGAAAATTTGACTCAAATTAAGCAAAAAATTTCTGCCAATGGAGTAAGAAAATTTTACTTAGTAAGATTCTTGAAATACTTGACTTGACTCAATTTTTTCTTATTTCAAGAATCTTACCAAGTAAAATTCTGAAGACAAGATTATTATTCTTACACAATCAGTTCTTGTTTAGGAAATAGGTCTCAAAACAAGATCAAAAAGACTTTTTGGCTGGATATAAGGTTTTAAAACTTGGTTAGGTGGACAGTTTTTGCAGTGTAGTTCTAATCACCTCAAGAGTATTTTTCAAACATTCATTGTCACTGCTTTCCGTGTGACTCGCAGGTGCCGGAGCRGACTTCGTGATGCTGGGTGGGATGCTGGCCGGCCACTCAGAGAGCAGCGGGGAGGTCATCGAGAAAAACGGAAAGAAATACAAGCTGTTCTACGGGATGAGCTCCGACACGGCGATGAAAAAACACGCAGGAGGCGTGGCTGAATACAGGTGTGCTTCTGCTTTGTCGGGGTCTCACCCTCTTCGTATCCTCTCTCACTCCATCCTTTAACCTCCGCTGTTGTCTTCCTCTTTTTATCCTCCACATCCAGCATTGTTTCTCCGTCAAATCCAAACATGTTCAGCCTCTTTGACTTGGACTGCGAATCACTCAACCTGAGCTATCCCTTCACACTCACCCCGTAATCCACAGAGACGCTAACCTGAACTAATCTATTTATCTGTCCAGTAGAGCTGGCAGTGCACCAGTTTGTACCAAAAATTGTTACCTCCGCCCAGGGCGAGGTAATCTTTTCTGTCGCGTCTGTCTGTCTGACTGTCTGTCTGTCTGTCTGTCTGTCTGTCTGTCTGTCTGTCTGTCTGTCTG